GGAAAAAAAAAAAAAAAAAAAAAAATACTTCCTCAGGAAACCCACTGTACTTTAAGAGAAAAAAAATGCTGGGCTTTGTTAGTCTGTATGAACCAGGAATTCTGAACTAGAACTACAATTCAATCCACTTACTATCATCCTTGCAGGGTACCACATCCCTCACACCTGGCTACTTCTCAGAAGTTAGTCTTCAAATAAAAACTGTCAAGTCTTTAGAGAGACCTTGCCACTATCCTCCCTTCCCTTCCAGTTCCCCTGGCACTTATATTTGAGGGGCAACAGAACATAATGGTTAAGGAGACTGAGTTCAAATCTGTCACTTCCTAATAGGGCAATCTTGAGTGAGTAACTTAATTTCTCTATGCCTCTATGCCCTCATGTATAAGGATGACAATACCTCTTCTGGTAAGTTCTAAAGAGGATTTAATACTACACACAAGAGTCCAGAACACTACCTGGTATGACACACAAAATAAATGCTAAATATCTCAAGATCCATAAGGAACATCGAGTCTACATCAAGTACATGAACTTTCAGAGACTGTAAGCAGCCAGCCAGGAATCCTTCTGTCCTTCAATAGTTATTTTCATTTAACTACAAAACCTCTCAGTGCCATGGGATGAGGAGCAAGGAGGGATCCATTAGCAGCAAAATGAAGTTGGAAAATTGACTAGTAAAAGCTGATCATGTTGGATAGGACCTAGTGTATCCCCAGACACCCAGACAACCCAGACATAGGACACCCAGAAAACCATGTATGAGATGTACCCTGTCCAAGACTCAGCCCTCCCCAGGGTCTTAGGAGAACTTCAGGTTCTGTGAGATCTGTGGAGTCCAGGAGAGAACTAAAGATAGGACCAGTAAATGGCCCCAAACATGAACTCCCCTACAACAGAGAGCTGAGAGGACAAGGCACCCTTTATAATCAGTTTAGCTCCATTGGCAGGTGCTTGTGTACCATGAGCTCAAAAATAAAACCTGTCTTGGGTTGACTTGAGGACTGGTGAACCCTCTTGTCAGCACTGGATTTTGACTCAGGCAGATTCCAATGTTTGAGTCCTATCTTGGCTCTTAAGTAGGACATTTATTCTCTGTCCTCTAAGCAGCCTTAGATTCTGCATTTGTAAATGAGCAATGCAGTGATTACAGAAAGTCACTGTGAAGTGTCTGATACACTGATTCAAAGTAAGCAGCTTATGACATACTTAAGAACACAGAATTTATTCATTTACTGGGTTGTACATCTTTTTACTCCCTTGGAAGTTCTGCCCAGCTGCTTTTTTCTACGGCAGGTATCTGGGTGTCAGATACAGATTTCTCTTAGGGAAAACAGGCTTTGTTCATTGGAGTAAGGTCTCACCTTCCCATCAGTGTACAGAGCTCTAGGCCTTGATGACCTGGGCAAAAGTAGCCACACCAGGAGGATGGCCATCCTAATGTGCTTAGAGCAGTAGCTGGCTGCTTTCCATCTCCCTAATTCCTGGCCAAGAAGTTATTACTGTACCATAGGGGCTCTGAACTTGGATGCTGTTGACATTCACGGTCAGAGCATTCATCCTGTGATGCAGATCATTCTCTGAAATGCAAGACACTGAGCAGCATCTGTAGCTTCAGCAGATGCCACTAGCAAGCTCCCCTTAAGTCATGACCATCTAAAATGCCTCGACACGCTGCCAAATGTCCCATTGGTCAAACCCTCCCTCCATGAGAACTGATCTATCATGAACTAAAAGAGTAAAGGACAGCAAGATGTAGACGAAGTGAGGGGAGGGCCCCAGAGTAGAACTAAGGTGCTGGCCTCTAGTCAAGAGTCCTTGCACAGAAGAGGTCTTATGTCTGGAATACACAACAAAGCACCCTTGTGGAATACACGGATGAACATTTTTAGTGATCTCAAAACTCTAGACAAGAACCCTGTGATCTTGGCGTCTCCTCTTACCTCCAGTGCCTACTGTGTAGGAGAAGTCCAAGTGTTTGCCAAATTGAGTATCTGTTTAATGTTCAGTGCATCAAGCCATTAGTTATACACGTCATGTGAGTTATCTCAGTTAACCTTCGCTTCACCACATGAGACAGGTACTGCTATCTCCACTTTGAAAACGGGAGAAAGAATAGCACAACATGATCCATGGAAGTCACTGAGCCGACAATACATTATCTGAAAGTTTCCACTCTCTGATTCCGAAGGCAAACCTCTCCTACTAATTCCTCTCCAGGCAGATAGTTTTGGGGAAATGATACACATCTTTCCTTATTGTGACCTCCGTTCTTGAAGGAGTTCTGCACTCCTTAGGTCTGAAGTCCGGGGAGCATATAAATTGAGATTCCATCCGATAAAGGACCAAGGAACATGTTCCCCCAACATTGGCTGAGTGTCCAAGGCCCTGACTCAGAAGTGTGGACCACTTAGTCCAGCTACTTATTAAATCCAACTCCACCCAGGATTATCGCCTCACTAGAAAACTAAACCATAAACTAAATCCATAAAACCTATCCCAAACTGAAGGACCCAGAGTCAGAAACACATATGTGTAAAGGTCACATGGGAGTGAGGATCCAATCTGGGTCACACTCTCCTAGGAAAAAGCCTCCCATCAATCTATTGGGTAGGCTACCATCCACGGACTCCATCCTGTGTACCATACCTAGAAAAGATGTAAAAACAGTGGCTCTGATACGCAAATGGTGTCCTTGTGTGGAGACTGTGCTGGGCTTTTGGGAGTGATTTCAGTTGTTGGGTTTACTCTGCCCCAGGAGAAAAGAGCTAGATATCAAAGGAATTAGCTAGGTTTGGGCTCTTAAGGTCACTTGGAGATGAATCGTTTGTTCCTTGGGCCTGAATAGTTCCATAAGGAACTGCAAGCTCATAAAATTAAGGGGGCTTTTGTCTCCTGGAAGGATTCTCTGATCAGCTTCTCAGAATCATGAGCCACATTTCCCTCCCTTGTACACTGCTCATTCCCACCTCTCAACAGCCTACATGGATATTTATAGTTTCCAAAAGAACTCAGGACTCAAAAAAGGGTCCCTCCGACAACTCTGCAGCTCATCTCCTGCTAGAACTGAGGAGACGGGGCCTCCATTGTGAGCTGCTCCATAGTTATGGCACCACGATGATGGCGGGGCCTTGGGGAATAGGGGAGGAGCGAAAGGAAACCAGTGGGTGGAAACTGGGCTTCGATTCTTTACAGGAAAGCAGGTCACTGGGAACAGTGTCATCTACCTCTGCTTAAAAACAGATCATTGACGACCGGGGGGAAAATCCAGGCACATAGGAAATTTGGGGGCTCCAGAACTCTACCCCCCTACAAACAGGTACTGGAGAGTAAACCCGGGTAGTACTGAGCTACACGCCTAGCCCTTTTCCTTTTCAGACACCATCTTGCTACTGCTGGGGACAAGGTTTCTTAACTCAGATCTCAGTCTCCAGGTGGGTATTGTCTTATCTCAGGAACAGAGAAGTATGCAGAAGGGTATGTGCAGAATGCTGATAACCTAGCACTCCTGAGGCAAGAGAGCATCTGCTGAGGACAGTTGTCAATATACGGACACTTGGGTATAGAGAAAATCTGATTCCTCATTAATTTAATCCTCATCCATCCGTACTCTATAGTTGCTGTCCCATGAAACACATGCTACCCTTCGCTCTGCAGTTTTCACTTTTTAATAAAAGTGGGCCAACCTTGGAGTTTTGAGTCTGTCCACTAGAGGCAGGTCTCCTCCTGGCCACTTTATGTCTTGAAAATTGTCCGTTTTTCTTCCTCAGTGGTCCCCCTAAAATGTTGTTGAGGGTCTGATCAGCCCTCAGTATTGCTAAATTGGCCGGGCCAGCCTGGCACTTGCAAACCTCCTGTATGTGTTCTGAGTAGCTGAAAATGACAATGGACCCTTGATTTACAAACTCAATTTGCTCCGAATTGCTAACTGTAATTCAAGTTAGTCAAATGCCTTCAAAGTCTCTCTGTATACAGGCCAATCTCAGTATCCTCAGAGAGACAGTGGCCCAGGATTTCTCAGTGAACCCCACACAGGATGTTGAAATGTTCCTTCCAGAACTCTTGAAGCGTTAAATCTGTACTGAGACCATCTGGAAGCACAAGCACCTGCATTTGGGTCAGAACTCAAGAGTTTCCTGTTAATCAACTGTATCTCAATAGAGCTGTTCTCTCACTTGTACTCTTACCTAAAAGCACACTGGCCTTGCAGAAGCCTATGAAAACTGATGTCCCCCACTTCTTCCCCTCTCTGTACCGGGGTCCCTTCCATGTAACTGAGTGCCTGTCCCCTCTGGAGTCACTCACATGTTTGCATGTGCACAGGCAACTCTGACACGAGCAAGGGCTTGAAAAGCAGTGAGACTATGGTCTTTTGGAATCCTCCAGCGATGAGTGCATAGCCCCTGCCTGGACTGAAGGGTGAAACCAGGAGTGGAGGGCAAGGAACCGGCCACCCAGCCCAGCACCCACCTCAGCTGCGCACAGCCCTGGCCGCCGACCAGCCCATCCTAAACAAATGGTCAGCCTTAGGGTGGTTTATGATGTGACACCAAAGCTGACAGAAACAGGTCCCCTTTATTCCACTCCCCAATAATAAAGTACTACTATGACCTGAACTGCAAACCTTATCAAGTACCAATAGAATCCAAGCAATTTAGCAATTTCCTTTTCTTTTTTTTTTTTTTTTTCTTGAAGTGCTGAGCCTCATGAATGCTAGGCAAGAGCTCTACAGTGCTACACTCGGCCCCCAATTAACACTTAAATTGACCTAGGGTGGGCTGATATACACCTGGAATCCCAGCACTCTGGAAGGCTGAGGTAGGATCACCAAGTCCAAGCCCAGCATAGGCAACTTAGCAACTTAGGGAGACATGGCCTCAAAATAAAAACGGCTAGGGATGTTGCTCAACGTGAAGACATTGGATTTAACCCCCAGTATCACAAACTCATTTTTCAAAAAACACATAAATTGAGGGTAATATGTCACATGCTATTTAACAACACACACATACATATATATATATATATATATGTATGATACAGCGTCTAGCTATGCACCCCAGGCTGGCCTCCAATCTATGGTGATCCTCCTGCCTCAGCCTCCCAAGTGCTGGGGATTATAGGCGGGCACCACCATACCCCACTGCTTTGTAACAATACTGGAAGGAGAGCATGTATGGCAGTGCATGTATGGTCCTATCATATTGCCTATTGTGTGGTATGAACACTTTGACATTCCCATGGCAAACTCACTTCCACCTAAAAACACGTTTCTCAAAAAAGGAACAATTTCTCACAACACGTCCCCACTGTTGAGCAGCACAACTTTATTAATCCACATATTGCTATGCTATAGAATCCATCTCATCATACCTGCCCACTTTTATCTCCTACTACAATGCTCCTTTTATCTCAAAAATCTGACGTCTGTATGCACCTGTGCGTTTTGAAGGGGCACATTCAATTCTGTTCCTAAATATTCTTTGGTGTATGTTTGTTTTGATTCAAGACGGGGCCTATGTAGTTCAGGCTGACCTTGAACTCACAGTGATCCTCCTGCCTCAGCCTCCTGAGTGCTGGGATGACAGGTGAGCACCACCACCCCAGGTTTTTCCTAAATACCCCTAATAAAAGCCTTTTACGACTCAGCATGTATCCCCCTATCCTGTGGGATACATGATCGCCTCAGGTTAAACATGCCCTCCCTGAAGCCTCCTGAGCAGATTAACAATAGTTCCTTGTCATTTAGACCACACCCCCTGGACCTTTATTCAGTTAAGGAGAGGCCTGTGTCTCAGCTATCTCTATCTTCCCACAATCTAAGTGAAAACTAACTGAACTGATATTCATCCTGTACCCAGTAGTTTCCCTAGAGGGGGAAAACTCCTGAGTGGATTGGAAGTTACCCAAATGTTACACAAGACACGGGTGAGGCCTGCTGGGGAGGCGACAGGCATGAAGAAGCACAGACAGACCAGTCTAGAGGGAACGGGAAGGGTCCTCGGGGAGGCTGAGGGAGGTACAGTCTATCCTGAGAACTCGGGGAACCCTGGGCCACTGACTATAGATGGTAACTCATTACATTTTTGGCTCTGATGTGATAAAGGAATTAGGCACAGAGGGAGCCCAGAGTACAGTTCCCAAGGCTCCTAATTAGAAAAACAGCCCTATTTGACTTAATGCGAAGGGAAGATGTCTCGTCCGTCCCTCTAGGCCCAGCCTCCAAGGCCTACATCTTATCTTCTAATCCTAAGCAAGAACCAGCAAGTGACTATTTCTTCACTAATGAGTCCAGGAAAACTTTTGACTGAAGCCTGGGTTCGGCTCAGCGGTTTGTGCCACTGACCCCGGACACACAGCCAAAGCATGCAAGTAGAGAGGAAGCCCATGGAAGCCCCTGAACAAGCACCTGTCCACCATGCGCTGAGCCCAGCTGACCCTTCAGATGACACGAAATGAGGCAAGGAGCCCAAGTGAGCCGACTGTCCCAGTAAGCCAGCTGCTCTTGCCCCAGTTCCCAGCTCAGTAAACTTTTCACCCCTCTCTGCTTGTCCAGGGAATTAACTCAATGGTGCCACCGCCTGCCTCGCAAGCCCAAGGTCCTGAGTTCAATCCCCGATACAAAAAAAAAATCTATTTCTGCTCAAGAATAAAATGACTGCCAACCAGAGGAGCCAGGAAGGGTAGGGTAGCTAGTCTGCATCTGCAAGCTCCTTAGGCGAAATAGAGAAACTACTAAAATCTAAGATCACGAACTAAGTTAGCTAAGGTAACTATCAAGACCCAAGGTCAGAATTTGTCATTAGGAAGCAGATTGACTTACACAGATTCTCAAGACATAACCGGATTTAAGCACCAGCTTTTATTTTCAAATCTGTAAAATAGCAGTGAATTAAAGACAGTGGACCTCATGTTGCTTAAACTGAAGGATTTTCTTGGGCAAGAGATTAAGATCTTGGCCAGCTGTGCTGGGTCATGCCTGTAAATCCAACTAACTGGGAAGTTGAGGCAGAGGGCCTCAAGTTTTGAAGCCAGCTTGGGTAACTTGGCAGACCCTAACTAAATAAATACAAAAATATGAAAGAAAAAATGAATGAATGGGCCCAGGCTGTACCTCAGTGGTACAGTAGTACTTGCCTAGTATGACTGAGCTTCTGGGTTCAATCCCCAAAACCAAAAAAACATGAAAGATGAAGACCTTGGAGGCCAAGCCACACAAAAGGGAATAGATTTAGTGGCCTAAAAAAATAAGACTAACTGTCCCTAAAAGCTGTAACAGCAAAATGGTTAGCCAGGTGTGGTGGTGCACACCTGTAATCCCAGCACTTGAGGCTGACGCAGAAGGATGGCCGGAGTCAGCCTGAGAGACAGCATGAAAGAAGGGGAGGGGAGAGGAAGGAAAGAGAGAGAAAGAAAGGTGGAGAGTAAGAAAAAGGCTAAGGAAGCAGCTCAATGGTGTCGCACCTCTGGGTTCTGTCCCCAGTGCTAAGAAAGAAAAAAAAAGAATTATTAAAAATATATGTAAAGGGCCAGGGATTTAGGTCAGTGGTACCGCCGCCTGCCTCACAAGTGCAAGATCCTGAGTTCAATTCCCGGTATGCCACGCCCAAAACTATATATATTTATGTAAGACCTCCGTTTAGGTAGCAGTTATCTGAACTCACAAATGACCAGATGTAAGGATTCTAGACAGCATCCAGCTGAGTGCAGAACCGTCTTCCCGCCAGTAAATAAAGCAAACAGATACACATACAAATGTCCAGGTACAGACACAAATGTCCATAGCACCTTAACAAGTAATCTGTTTATTTTTTTTCTCATATAATAGGAATTCTGGAAGTAACGAATCCAGAGTTAATGCAGAAATTTCAATAAGCCACAGCGGAGCCCAGAATCACTGTGACTTTGCAGCAGCGTCCTCCTCAATCCGTGGCTTTCATCCTTGTGGTCACAACAGGGACCGTGTAATACAGAACCAGGGACCAGGTCCTTGCAAGGTGAGACACAGGAAAAAGAGCAAAGAATACACCGTGGAGAAGCATCCACGTAGGGAGAGCCCCTGTTCAAGAGCATTTTCTCAGACAGCCACACAGTGACCTCTTACTTGTCAATATGACCAGCACTATGTGATGTGGACAGCAGTTACCTGTGAGAGGTTTTTAAAAACAGCACACCTTCCTAACCCAAGAGGACATGGGTTCTTCTGTTACGGAAGATGACAGTGGGCATGCAGGAAGCAACTAGAAGCCTATGCCACCCATGGCTGGATGGCGGGCCACAAACACACAGAAGGGTCCATGTTCTGGTCACAACGCATTCTGTTCAGAGCAGTAACAGGTACTGAGAAATGCCCACACTGCCCAGCACCTAACACAATCCTGAATAGGCCATCGGCCACTTAAATTATCCAAAAGGAAATGAAGACACGGCAAGAACGAAGCTCTGGTAAACATAGTATATACAAATCTTTTGTGATGAGGCCTAAGGATTACTGAGAACAACACAATGTTAAAAATAAAAGGGAAAATTAATGCACTGGGGTCTGTTTTCACGATCAGACTGTGAACTCCGGAGAACACGATGGGATTTCTCTCCCGGTGAGATCTGAACACAGGCAGCAGGGGATGGTGGCAGAGGTCCCTTCCCACACAGAAATCACCAGCAGGGTACATCTCACACTTTCTGAAGTTGCTGATTGCAAGTTTTTAAAATGAATTTCTCCCAGTAGGACTGCCCTGGAGAATCAGAGACTGAAGGATTACTGCGGATGCTAACTGAGGAGGAGTCGAGATCCTTCTCCACCAAGGGAGACTGATACGTTAGGGCACATGGTTCACAATGTGAGGCTCCCTCACATCCTGTGAGGATGGCAGGAAATCCAGCAGCACCCCAAAATCCTCCTGCTATATAGCAGCAGTACCTCTCCCCCATTCTTCACCCAAAACTGTCTCTCGCTGTTGCCAAGTCTCCTTGGGTGGCAAAATTGCTCCCAGGTAGAACCACACTGCAGATTAAGTTTTGGCAAAGCTGCTCTGTGGATAGCCAGTGTCTTAGGCTCTAAGGGCCACATACAGTCTCCAGCACAAGCTTCCTTCGAAAATGGAATGGCTGTGCTTAGCTCACAAGTGGTACAAAATTAGACAGCTGGACGTGGTCGCTGTCCTGCTTTTGTAGACTTCCCCACTTTGCAAAGTTGTCTTGGGTGATTTCACTCATGAGGATCATGGGGAGACCAAGAAAGGCTTTCCCAGCTGCCCCGCAGACAGAGTCTCTCTGGTGTGCCCAGGAGAAATCCACTGAAGTTATTTTGACATCCAGTCCAAACTGGGGTTTCTCTTCCTAAGTTCTCTCGTGTTAAGAGCCCAATGTACCCAAAGGTGACTCTACGGCACATACACATCCTCTTGCTCCATGTGAGTTCTGAATAGATCGCCCAAATGAAGCAGCTCAGTTGCTAAACTTTGCACGAGCTGGATTTATAAACTCCATGTACTCCGTGTTTTATTTGGTTTGCTTGAGACAACATATTGCTATGTAATCCAGGCTGGCCTTGAACTCACTATGCAGCCCAGGCTGTCCTCAATCTCACAATCCTCCTGCCTTAGCTTCCTGAGGGGTGGAATCACAGGCGTTGGCCAACACATGCAACTCCGTGAAGGGTTCCCAACTTCCTCTCGCCTCTGCAGCTTTCTTTGGGTCTGAGTGCTCACTGCAACCTCTTCCACACAGAGGAGGCAAAGAGCTTCTCTCCGCGATGGGTTTTCACATGGCTCCGCAAGGAGGAATGGTCGCTGAAGGCCTTCCCGCAGGCCAGGCACTCATAGGGCTTCTCCCCGGTGTGGATCCGCCGGTGCACATTGAGGTTGGAGCCGATGCTGAAGGCCTTGCCACAGTGGTCGCACTCGTAGGGCTTCTCCCCAGTGTGGCTCCGCATGTGCGTCTTGAGCGTGGACTGGTTGCGGAAGGCCTTGCCGCACTGCCGGCACTCCACCCGCTTCTTCACCAGGTGCACGCTCATGTGCCTCCTGCGAGACAGGTAGTCGCCGAAGACCTTGCCGCAGGCCGCGCACTCGTAGCGCCGCTCCTGCGTGTGAATCTTCCGGTGCGCCGTGAGGTTGGAGCTGGCGCTGAAGGCCTTGCCGCACAGGTCGCAGGCGTAGGGCTTCTCGCCGGTGTGCGAGTTCATGTGCGTCTTCAGGATGGACTGGTTGCGGAAGGCCTTCCCACACTGGCGGCACTCCACGGGCTTCTTCACGCTGTGCGTCCTCACGTGCTTCCTGCGCGACACCAGGTCCCCGAAGGCCTTGCCGCACTCCTTGCAGGCGTAGGTCTTCTCCACCGTGTGGTTCTTCTTGTGCAGGTTGAAGTTGGACTTCCAGCGGAAGGCCTTGCCGCACAAGGCGCAGGCGTAGGGCTTCTCCCCGGTGTGGTTGCGCACGTGCTCCTTGAGGTGCGAGGGGTGCTGGAAGGCCTTGCCACAGTCCTGGCACTCGTAGGGCCGCTCCCCGGTGTGCGTGCGCTTGTGCGCGATCAGGTGGCAGCTGCGGCCGTAGGCCTTGCCGCACTCGCCGCACTTGTAGGGCCGCTCGCCCGTGTGCACCCGCATGTGGATCTTCAGGGCCGACAGCGTGCGGAAGGCGTTGCCGCACTGGCTGCAGTCGAAGGGCTTCTCCTTGAGGTGGGTGCGCGCGTGGCTCCGGAGGGCCGACGGGTCGTTGAAGGCCTTGCCGCAGTCCCGGCACTCGTACGGCTTCTCCCCGGTGTGGATCCGCCGGTGCCGCGTGAGGGAGGCGCTGGTGGTGAAGGCTTTCTGGCACTGGTGACACTCGTGCATCTTCCGCCCGTCGTACACGCCCCCGTGCTGCGAGAGGTGCGTCCTGGGTCGGAAGGCCGCGCCATAGCCGTGGCGGGCGTAGGGACTCTTGCCCGCGTGCCTCCCTAGCTGCTGTGAGAGGTGAGCGCCCATGCTGAAGACTTCAAACAAGCGCTGGTATTCGGCCGACTTCTCCGCAAGGCAAGCTCTGTCCTGTGCGTGAAACAGACAGCTCACTGCCATTTCCCAGGCTCCCCAGTCTTCTCCCTCCCCGCCCTGTGCAATGCTAGAAACGCCAGCCCCACGACCAGAAATGCCAGGATCTGCTGCTCTTCCTGTCTCCCTTGAGCACTAAAGAGAACACGTGAACGCTATACCAGCAGGCTCCATGTGTGTTGCTTGCAAAGCTTTTTCGCATGGTTTGCTCAGAGTTTAAAACCAAAATGAGCCCAGGTGTGGTGACACATGCCTGTGAATCCCAGCTCCCTAGGAAGCTGAGGCAGGAGGATACAAAGCTCTAGGGTAGCCTGGGTGACTTGGAAAAACCCTGTCTCAAAATTCTTTTAAAAAGGGATGTGGCTGGGATGTAGCTCAGTGGCAGGGTACTTGCCTAGCATGTGCAAGGCCCTAGGTTCAATCCCTAGTACCACACACACACACACACACACACACAATCATCATCATCATCAAACTGAACACTGAGTATCTAACATAAGTTATGGAACAGAACTCTTAAGTGAAGAAGTCCGAGGCTAGGCTTATGATTTCGTCTCAACTGACAATACAGTTAGCCCTCAGTGTCTTTGGTTTCTGCATCCAGATTCCAACCAACCATGATCTCAAAATATTTGAGGAAAAAAATTACTGTATTATGTATTGAATGTGTACTTTCTTCTTGTGGTCATTCCCTATACAGACAACTACTTATACATCATTTACAATGCTGTTATATTACAGGGAATGTACAGCTAACTAAAACGCCGGTGAGAACATGCATGCAGGTCGAATGTAAAAAACATGCCATTCTAAAGAAGGGACGTGAGCATCTGGAGAGACGGGCATCCGCAGTGCGCCCTGAACTTCCGCCGGTACCAAGGGACCCCAGTGCTCGGGAATGGTGGAAACTACCAAACATTTCCTCTCTGGTTCTCATGTGCTTTTCTTTTTTTTGGCGGTACTGGATACTGAACCCAGGGCCTCCACAAACTGAGCTACATCCCCAGCCCCTTTTATATTTTTACTCTTCAGTCACCCAGGCTGGGCTTGAACTCACGATCCTCCTGCCTCAGGCGCCCAGAGTGCTGGGATTCCAGGCCTGCGCTACCATGCCTGGTTATGGTGCCACTTTTCCAACTGTAACTTCACTGGTCTTCTGTAATGTGGAAAGTCTACAGGTATTCTGAGGAAATCTTACCATTGTCATACCACCAGAGGTTTCCTTCCCAAATATATCTTCCATGAGAACCGACCACTTGGTTTTAGACGGTGTCTCCCAATCTGAAACAAGTTGGAAAAATACTAACTTGCTGGAAAAAGAAAATGGTGGGGTGATATGGACAAAGGTAGGTGTTTTTGCAGATACTGACTTTACCCAAAGAAAAATAATACAAAAGGGAAAAAATACAGGAGAGCAAAATGATTCATTTTTTTTTGTTTTGTTGTTGTTTTTATGGTACCAAAGATCAAACACAGGACCTTGGGCTTGTGAAGCAGGTGTGATGCCACTTAGCTAAATCCACGGCCCCAAAATGATTCTTAACAAAGCTGTAAAGTGAGATAACTAGCAATCACGGGGGAAGAAAAAATTTAAGATTGACACTGATAACAAGAGTTTGGGGTTTTGGGTTTTGTTTAGTTTTTGTGAGACGGGTCTTGCTATGTAGTCCAGCCTCCAATTCACTATGTAGCCCAGGCAGGCCTCAAACTCGTGAATACTGCTGTTTTGTCTTGCTATGTAGTCCAGCCTCCAATTCACTATGTAGCCCAGGCAGGCCTCAAACTCGTGGCAATACTGCTGCCTCAGCTGGGACTGCAGGCGTGCACCACCACACCAGGCTGATAATGAGAGTGTTATCAGGAAGTCCTCATACAACAGGACAGAGCAAGGGGAAACAGTTCAAAGATAAAGGGGTGTACAGACTAAAGGACTTGTGAGAAAATGGACAGCAAGAGAGAGTGCATTTTCTAACAGCCCTGGTGCAGTTACCTCATGGGCCTCCCTGCTAAAGTCTGGAGGTCATTTGTCCCCCAGGGGTCCCATGTTGGAGGCGTGGTCCTCAGTGTGGTGCGGTCTGCTGTGAGGGGATTAGGTCACTGGGGTGGCGCCCTCAGATGAGTCAACGCTGGTCTTCCCAAGTAGCCAGTCCTCACAAGGATGGGCTGTTACGAAGACAGGAAGACCAGTCCCTCCTCGGTCTCTGGCTTCCTGTTTCACCATGGGGCCTCTCCCTCTCGGATATGCTCACGCCATGGTGACATGTGCTGTGCTCGTCCAGTGAGGGAAGCTTGTTCGGAAATCCACGATTGTGAACTAAATATACATAAGCCCTTTTCTTTGCACATTATCCAACTTCAGAGATTTTGTCAGAGAAACAATAAAAGGGCCCGTACACTTCCTCCGCTCCAGTTACTGACTAGGGCTGAAGTCAGAAGCACTTCTATTTGCCTGCTGCTCACTGTGTCGGTCAGCGTGCCATTGCCGTGACCAAATACCAAAGGGAAACAACTGAAGGAGGAAAACTTTATTCTGGCTCTCAGTTTCTGAGGCTTCAGTTGCTGGTGAGCTGGCTCGATTACTTTTAGGCCTGTGGTAAGGCAGAGACATTATGGCGGGAGAAAGCTGCTCCCAACCTGGCCTCCAGAAAGCAGAGGAAAAGGTGGAGTGGAAGGGGCTGAGGACAGAACATAACCTTGAAAGCCACACCCTTGAAAATGACCTGCTTCCTCCAATGAGGGTGCACATCCGCGTGGGCCTAGTTAGCCAATACATTCATCAGTGCATTCACCTACTTGGTGAAGTTAGAGACGTCGTGAACACACGAGACTTCTGGGCGGACACTTTCAGATGTGAACCGTAGCATCTGCTCACCTGGACAAGCCCCTTGCTGAGTGCCCCTCTCCTCGGTCCTGGGCTCCTCTTCTTGCTCCAAGTGAGAGATGAGGCTGGGTTTTCCAACCTGATACCCTACTCACGGGGAAAGACACATGTTGAGGGAGGACCGTGCAGAGGACAACCCCTTCCATTAGTCTGGGGTCAACATTTTGGTCTTCGGGGTTTTGAAGATAGACAAGTTTGACTTTTTGTTTGAGCAGCAAAATGATGGTTTCACATTTCTAAGGAACACAGTAAAAAGTCTTTCATAAGAAACAAAACCTTGAAAGCCCAAGCATTTTTACCCTCCAAAAGAATGGGGATTTTTCTTTCTTTTTTTTTTGGTGGTAATGGTGCTGGAGTTGGAACCCAAGGACTTACACGTGCTAGGCAAGTCCCCCACCAATGAGTCACATCCCCAGCCTGAGAATGAGATTCTTTAACCTCAGAAACCCATGCCCAACTTCACACTCAATGAGAACCCCCAACAACGTGAGGAGTAGCTCTTAACGCCCCCAGGTGACATTAGGAAGGTGGACCCATCTCTCCCAGTTCTCACCAGCCTCACAAACCCCCGACAACATAGACCAAAATAGCTGATTCTGAGCAAGCCAGCGGGGAATGGAGGCCAGGCTTACCCAGTGAGGTCAGGTTGCTGTAGTTCTCCAGCATCACGTCTCTGTACAGCTTCCGCTGAGAGGGATCCAGGAGGGGCCACTCCTTCTCAGTGAAATCCACAGCCACGTCCTGGAAAGTCACGGATTCCTGAAACACCACACAGATTCGAGGTCAGGGACAACCCAGTCTCCTAGCATTCACAGAAAGGTGGTATGAGATGCTTGAAGGCTCTCCAGGCGGTGTGTCTGGGTCTCAGCAGCTGCTCCAAAGGTCCCCAGATGCCCCATTCCTCACTTCAAATGCTATCAGACGAGGTACCAAGTCCTGCTCCACTGTAGCCTCATTTGAGAGGGCCAGCGTTATTTTCCTGTCTCCAGGGTGGGACGTGGGGGGATCTGAGCAAGCACAGGAGACACCTGGTGCATACGTACTTCCTAGACGCCAGGATAGCCACGCAGTACTCCTTGGTTCCTTCCTGGGCCCTGGATCAAGACCTGGGAAAATTCCAACCTATGCTATGGGGAGCCTTCTAGGAAGTGAATGCCCCAACCACTCTAGGAACCCGAGATCCCGCATACCTGATTAGAATCTCTGGCTCCTGTGAGAGGCTCCAGACCATGGCACACAAACAGGTCTAAGTCCTGGGAACAGGAATGGTGTGTTGAAGAAAGAGGAAATTCTGACTCTTGGAGACAGGCAGGGTCCTGGGTGGACACAGCTAGAGAAGACGATCCATGAGAAATACTTGTCCCACTACACACACACACACACACACACACACACACACACACACACACACACACTAATTAATACAAAGAGCAAGGGGCCAGGCATGGTGGCCCATGCCCAAGATCCTAGCACTTAGGAGGCTGAGGCAGGAGAACTGCCATGAGTTCAAGGCTGAATTGGACTCCATAACAAGATCCTGTCTCAGTCAATCAATCAATAAAATAAACCAGAGCAGTCCAGCTCCACTCTAAGACGAAATAAGAGGTGGTGGGCCTTTATGCCAATAAGAAGCAATACACAGGTCGAGCATCCTTTACTCAAAATAGGACCACAAGTACTTTGGATTTCATTTGCTTCTGGATTTGAGAATATTTGTTCAGACATAATGAGCTACTTGGGGCAGGCCCCAAATCTAAACACAAAACTTATTCATGTTTCATAGCTGCCTTACACACCCGATGGTGATGATACAGGATATTCTCAATGTGCTGAGTTCAGACCACAGCCCTCCAAGACAATGAGGGTGCAATCTCCCACCTGTGGTGTCAGACTTTGGATCTGGGCATTAGAGATGCTCAATCTGTGTCCATTTTCAATTCATGAGTGAAGAAACTCAAATTTCGAAGGCCCACCCTCAAGGTTTTCAAAATACAATAAAGCAAGGTTATCTATCATCACCCTCCTCACAAACCCGCCACACGAGTGTCTCCCTGAACCAGGCATTGGCTGTTCCTGCCACTATGGAGCTCACCTGGCTCCCCACAGCAGCCGCCCCATGGCTGCACGGCTCCTTTCATGGGATGAACCACAGGCACCACATCCACTCAGTTTCTAAGGGCAGAGAACTCAAAGACTCACCACAGGCAGGAGACAGGCCAGGAGCTGCCATCCTGGGAGGATGATACTGGCAGGGCACCAGGCGACCCAGGAAGCTACCGTCCTGCTCTCACGGGCCTCTCCGAGCTGTTGCCTGTGGTGTAGATGAAAAGGGAGCAAGGACATCAAAGGTTCTCCTGCTGAGGACAGTTGTTTGATCCGGGGGAGCTCTTCGTTTGAGCAGCAAGACGTCTGACCTGGCCATCATCTCATTTAGCTAAAACCTCCAAGTCTTGAGGTAGAAAGTCCCTGACCAGCATCCGACAAAATTCAGACTTACTCTCCACAAGTTATGTGTCACTAGGCACAACTGCTAACTTCTCCACTCATTAAGCACTCTGACCCTCCAAGCCTCCTCTCACCTTCAATGCTGCCACCACTGAGGATGGCTCCTACCCACAAGCATGGTCCATCTGGGACCACAAGTTCCAGTCTCCAGACTGTGACCCACTCTCTACACCACCAGACACACCCAGGGTCACAGCCTAGACCTTATCACCACTGGAATCACCTCCCAGACAACAACTGGGAAATCTGTTGCCCTGGGCTGAGGGTGTGGCTCAGCGGTAGTGCACTTTCCTAGCACATATGAAATCCTTGGATGGATGGATGGACGGACAGACGGACAGACGGATGGACAGACAGGTGGATGGGTACGTGAGTGGGTGGGTAGATGAATGGAGGATGGGTGGATGGATAGACGGATGGATGGATAGATGGATGGGTAGATGGCTGGTGGATGGGTGTGTACGGGTAGATGGGTAGATGGATGGATAGGTGGGTGAGCAGGTGGGAGGGAAGAGGAGAGGGAAAAAATCTATTCTCTGGACAAAGAGCTTTCTCCTCCCATTATTTCTCCCACTTAAGAGAGAACTCCAGGCTACTCAGGCTTCTGCCATCTTCCTAACAGCCACCTCCTCTTCCCACTGCTCCTGTTTTCCAGCGAAGTCAGATTCTGTCATTTCTACCGTGTATCCGGGGAAGAAGTGAAGGGAGGGGGAAATAAAAAGAAATGACATGTGTTACGGTCATGTAACAACTCCCCACGATGAGCATGACCGTTATGCACTGCAAACATGGACTAATAAAAATGTGAAAGCAAATTATTTAAGTTTCTGTATCTTTCTGCTTACTGCAACCCCTAACCCAGGAAAAGCCTCGGTGATGGCCTTGTATAGTTAAAGCCTTGTATGATTCATTCCAACCCTCTGCAACTTCCCTGAAGGTACATCGGTAACCAGGCAGCACACGAGCAGTTAGTCACAGTGGTGGCACAGAAACTCAACAGTGCTGACCCGCAAGGACATTCACACTAAACGTCTTCCAGTGTCCCTTCTGAATTAAAATTTTTTCTTACCATTACCTTAACTTTCAACAGCAATTTCACATTTTACTCTCCAGTCATCAAAAACAAAAAAACACACCTTGACAAACTGGACAACGCGTCTTATCAAAAAACAATTACCTTTACAATAGCATATATCTAACTACCCAGAAACAAATGAAGTAGCCAGGTTTGGTGCCAGTTGCCCATCATCAAAGCTACTTGGGAGGCTAAGGATTGGAAGACTTAGAGTTCAAGACCAGTCTCATCAACTGGGTGAAACTGTGTCTCAAATATTTTTTTAAACATTGAAAAGGGGCTGGGGGAGTAGCTCAGTGTTCTCTGGGTTCAAGCTACAGAACGGAGGAAGGACAGAAGGGGAAGTAGAGAAGGAGGAAGGGAAGAAAAGAAGTGCAAAACCTTGACAGTAAAAACTATGACACACTATTGAATGAAAGTAAAGACCTAAAACAATGGGGAGCTGTATCGCTTTCATGGGCTGCAAGAACCAGTATTAAGTGACTCACTGCCTCCCATTTCATTTGCAGATATGACAGTCGCTGCCAAAAGCCAAATAGGTATTTTTTAAAAACTGAAAACCCAAACCTAAAATCTGTACTTAAAAAAAAAGAAAATTTAAACAATTTTTTTTTTTTTCCAAAAATACTGAGGACGTATCTCAGTGGTAGAGCACCTAGCTAACATGAAGCAGACCCTGGGTTAGATCGTGAGCGCTGAAACATGATACTGAAAGAGAAACTTAGGAACTTGACACCCTTCTTACCGTGGGCACAAGGGCTACTTGTTCATTTGCTTTGAGACAGGTTTTCACTATCTCACCTCAGGCTGGACTTGAACTCACTGTGCCGTCCAGCCTGGCTTTGAACTTGAGGCGATGCTCTTGCCTCAGCCTACCAAGCGACGGGGAAACAGGCATGTGCTACCACACCCAGCCCTATAATCTAATTTGAATTTCTAAAACCGCTTAAGATGAGTCAAAAATCGTGACAGAAAATATTTTCATGACCTTGAGTTACGCAGTATCTGTCTACAGACAAATCTCACACACACACACACACACACACACACACACACAATCACAGCCAGGTGAAGCGCTGCATGCCTGGAGTCCCAGCTACTGGGGAAGCTAAGGCAGGAATTCAAAGTCGGCCTGGGTAACTTAGCAAAACCCCATTAAATAAAAGAAGGGAAACCTGTCATGTAAAGGTACAAGATCCCAGTAATGAATGTAACTGCACTGTATACCTAAAATGTACCAATAAACTCCATTGGGAAAAGAAAATGAAAAAAGAAAAGCAGACAGGGGAGAAAATAGGGTCTCAAAGTTATACTAATACATCCACATTCATAGTGGCTTTCTTCTCAATAGCCAAGAGATAGAAATAACTCAAACCCAGCCACAGAAGGGTGGAAGACAAAATGCAGTGTATGCATGCAATGCAATGTTATTTCACCTTAAAAGGAATGAAATTCTGAAACATGCTAGTGTCCATGAACTCTGAAGATATGAAGCTATTATAAGTCACATAAACTAAGCAAGACACAAAAGAGCAGGCATTTTATGAATCCACTTACATGAGTTCCTAGGGTGGTCAGATTCACAGAAAGCTGATTAGTGTTCGTCAGGGGCTGCAGAGACGAAAAAGGGAGTTAATCTGGAATGGTGGGAAGTTCTGGAGATACACAGTAGCAATGGTAACAAAAGGTGAAAGTACTTAATCCCCACCGCCACCTCCACACACCAGAGATCAAACTCAGGACCTTGTGTTTGTGAGGCAGGCATGTCACCACTGAGCTAAATCCCGGCCCCTTGTAAATCTTGATATATATATTTTACATGTTTTTTTTCCCACAAGAACTTGCTATGTACTTCAGGCTGGCCTTAAATTTGCAGATTCTCCTGCCTCAGCCTCTGAAGTGCTGGGATTACAGAAGTGTGCTCCACCACCCTTGGCTTACTGTTTTTTTAATGTTAAAAAAAAAAGGTCAAGATCCTGACTTCACATAGTTTATTTTTCAAATAGTTTAATTTACCATTTCATCATTTTTATTTTGCTTTATTAATCTCTGGTTTCATAAACTACAGTTGAATTCTGAAACTAGTGATATCTGATTTGATATGACAAATTAGATTATGACTGTTTCTGTTTTGCTTTGGTTTGGTTTTTTTGAGACAGGGTCTCACTAGGTAGTTGAGACAGACCTGGAACTCACTATGTAGCCCAGGCTGGTCTCAAACTCACAGCGATCCTCCTGCCTCAGCCTCCCAAGTGCTGGGATGACAGGCGTGCGCCACCACGCCCGGGAGATTATGACTGTTTTTGTGACACATCATTGATCAGCATGAGGCTATTCTTTATATTTACCTCACATATATTAATAGAGTTGCACATATACTGTTCTGATTTATATCCCGATGTCCCCAAAGAGCCTCCAGTGCCCATCAGGGGGCTTTGGAAGGAGACTGGGTGACAGAGCTCACAGCTGAATGTGCTATTAGGAGGCAGGATCTGGTCAAAAGAGGGGGTCACGAGGGGCACAGCCTGGGAGTGTTTGTCTCCCCACTAGTTCCTCCTTTTACTGCTCCTTGGACTTCCAGAATGCAATTTTATAGCTTACTGACTTGAAAATAAAGGGAACAATCTATTTAAAGTCTATGTGTATTTGTTACCTTGAGTTACCAAACATGTTTCCTACAAATATGAAATCGTGAAGTTTTAAAATGAAAAAAAAAAAAAATTTACACATGAATTACAAAAAATAAAAGTACTCTAGAAGCAGAGTATGGAAGTGCATGCCTGCAACCCCACACTCTGGGAGGCTGAAGCAGGAAGATCACAGGCTTGAGTTCAGCCTTGGCAACAGTGACTTAGCATGAACTTGTCTCAAAAATAAAAACAAGACTGGAGATGTAGATCAGTTCAAAGGTCCTGGGTTCAATCCCCAGTACTGCACGAAAGAAAAATAAAAACTCCCCAAAGTACAACTTATGAAACCACAAGTGAAGTGTCAGTGGTCACAGAATTCCTCTCAGTCACTTGTATGGAGGACAAATGACACTCTCTCAGGAGGAATCCAGACCGCACACCACATGAAGCAGGAGCCATTCTTGCGTCTTTCTGAACCCCACAGCAAACCAATCCAACAGGCATCATCAGCACCATCAGAACTGTGGAAACCAGCTCAGCATTTCAGTAACTTGCCAGAGAGTAACACAGCAAACAGCAGGGGAGGAAGTGGTCTCCAGTGTTTTTATTTGGGCTAGTTCTTTTTTATTGTACTTTTTGGTTTTGAGACAGGGTCTCACTATATAGCTCAAGCCAGCCTTGAACTCACAGAGATCCTTCTGCCTCAGCCTCCCAAGTCCTTGCATTACAAGCATGTGCCATCACACCTGGCTCCAACTTTTTTTTAAGGACTCCATCTTCTTTAACTTCAAAGCCCAAGTTCATTCTTTCACTGAGGCAGTGGGAGTAGTTTTATTTGATCAGTATCACCAGAATGAGAACAGTGAGAATGAAACAGAATCAAATCACAACCCTGTCACAATCCACTTCTAGAATGCAGTGGATTTGTGGCAAACATTAGTTCCCTTCCCTTTTCCTATTCAATGGGAAGAAATATACAAATGCTGACCACCACTCAGTGATTTCTCAGAACCAGCAATTACGTCCCCAGCTGAGATCAGGTGCTGTTACCTTATGGACACTAAGAGGTACTGAGGGCCCAGGGAAAACAGGTCTGTTCCTATCAGTTTCAAGCAGTCCTTAAGCTAAAAGCTTTTTCCCATCAATGAGTCCTTGCCATCCGACACCAGCTCACCAAGGTCAGATGGGGTGACAGGTCTGCTCCCGGAGGTGCATTGTCACCGCTCAGTCCCAACTCATAAGCCGTGTGCGTCACACCTCCTATCTTTCCGTGCCAACATTGATCCCAACACATGCAGGGATGGTGCTTTAACTCTCCCACTACCTAGTCAGGGTCAGCACCGCCCTGGGTTAAGTCATGCGTCACAAGTTATGGGCTGTGACCCCCACCCACCTGACTCTGGAGCCACAGGCTACCTGTGTCACCTCTATAGCCCCCATCTGTGAACTCCCCAACACTAACTTTTGTCTGAGCCAGTTTCGCTAACATACGCCAGGTTAGGCTGGAGATTATCCCTGCCTCAGCTTCCCAAGTGCTAGGATTACAGGCATGTGCCACCAGGCCAGGTGATACTAATACTTCGTTTTGGTTTTTTGGTTCAGTGTCTTACTGTGTAAGACCCTGCCCCTGGCTCCAGGTGCTCTTTTTGAAAGATTCCTCCTGTTCCTGCTCCTTACCACTCTGCCTGCCCTTAAGGGTCAACAGTGCCCCGGGAGTGTCTTTATTCCACCCGTACACATCCATACCCTGAAACCTATGACACTTCCATGAAGGCTGGCTCATGCCTGCCCCGGTCCCAAGTGACCAATCACACTGAGAGACCAGAACTCTCTCCACTGGGGTCTCTGCCAGAGTAGGTTCAGCATTATCTGGATATTGACGATTTCATGACAGGATTATGGGCTGCTGTTCTTATTGAACATTCACTCTTACTTCAATTTATACCGTGTTCAAGCCAGACATGGTGATGCATGCCTGTATTCCCAGTATTTGGGGAGGATGAGGCAGGAGGACTGCCAAGAGTTCAAGGCTAGCCTGATCGCACAAACAACTCAAGGCCAGCCTGGACTACGTAAGGAGACCCTGTCTCCGTAAAAACAAAAAAAATCAAGGTTAGGTAGGAGGCCGTGATAGTACACGCCTGTAATCCTAGCACTCAGAAAGCTGAAGCAGGAGGATCCCTGGGAGTTTGAGGTAAGCCTGGACTACATAACAAGACCATGTCTTGAATGAGTGAGTGAATGAACGAGTGTTGGTGCAGCCTGGAATTCCAGAACGGAGAAGCTGAGGTAGGAGGACTGCAAGGCCAAGCCCAACGCTGACAACTTAGCAACTCAGTGAGAAACTGTCTTGGATAAAAAACAAAACTTAAAAATGAAAATATTAAAAGGGGTGGAGATCTAGTTCATCACGAAGGTCCAGGGTCCCCTTACTGGTACTGCAAAAATTAAAATAAAAAATAAGGGCCGAGGATATAGCTCGGTAAGAGGCCCTGGGTTCATCACAGACAGGTCACACCCGCTCGCCCAGGAGCTTTGCCGTGCATGCCCAAATCTCGTCTCATCACCACTAAAGCCCCTCATTGCACAACCTCCCTCCTTCTTGCAGAGTCCTCTCAAGCTCCTATCCCTGCCTTGGGTGCTCCCTGTGACAGTGCAGGCTACAGACTGGGGTTGTTTCTCCATAATGGAGGCAACTAAAGCCCTGGTGGGCATCCCCCCGCTGCCTGAGGGTCTGTCCTCTGTGCATTCAGGTTTAGCCCACGAGAAAGGGATGTCACTGTCCTCTCCCTCAACCTGCCTAGTGGTATTACTCAGACCGGAATGCCCAGTAAAGGCCAAAGGGAAGAGAAGAAAGAGGAGAGAGAACAAGACCAGCATGCCCTGTGTCTCATTAAAGGCAAGGAAACAGTAGCTTTAAGACATTCCACAAAGAAGACTCCAGACAAATAGTTTATCCAGGTAATGCTCCATTTTAAGAAACAAACACTTGTATTCTTAAGCTGATTACTCCAGATCTTAGAAAAAAGAAAAACAGGTTTCCCATCCTGTTTTATGAAGGTGGCATAAACCTGCAAAACAAAAGGAAATCTTCACTCAAGTACAGACCCAAAGTCTCCAAAGTAATAGCAAACTGAAGCCAAAAGTGACAAAACAGTACGTATCTTTTCCAAATAAGGTATTTAACAATAAAAAGTTAATGTAACAGGAGAAAATCCATAGTTTAATTCCACCATACTCTGGAATTTAAAAAAAATTTTTTTGTTGTTTTTTACATTATTTGTCCATTCATTCAATACATAACTGAATTCCTATCAGAAGTCAGGCATCATACAAGGTGCTAGAAATTAATCAAATAAGATATGAACAGAGACAGTGGGAAAAAACTCACTTGTTAAAAGTCTGCAGCAATTTACAAGAAAAACTTTTAAGCTAGGGGAAAGGGGCTTCCGAACAAAAACTATCTTGGAAAAACTTGCAGCAGATTTAAAAGCTAATTCTCTTTAGTTAGGAAGAAAACAAATGCTTCGAGTCTGCTCTTCAGGCTCTAGTTAATGATCATGTAAGCCCCATCCAGTCCATCAAAGAAATAAAATTGAAAATGAGTACAATTCCATGAAAAGCAAATATTTATTTATTTTGCAGATGATAAAACTATCTCTGAAAAGCATCCAGAATAAAAAAAATTAAGAAAATTAAGGACTCTCGGTTTTTTTCTCTTTTTTGGAACAAGGTCTTGGTATGCAGTATAGGCAGGCTTCCTCCTGCCTCAGCCTTCTGAATGCCAGAATTACAGACATGTGCCACCATGTCCACATCAAGAATTAAGTACTAAAGAGAGCATGCTGAATCCAAATTCAAAAAAACAAACCAGTAAGAGAAAATGTGATTAAAAACAACAAAGTACAAAATTCCTAGGGGGAAGGGGATATAATAAGATGTGTCATATAAATGAACCAATACTCACAAAGAAAGTAATCATTACATATCACAAATGTGTACTAATAAAAAAATTCCTAGGAATAAACAACAACAAAAAACCCTTAAATCTTTTTGGCTGGTACCTATAAAATTTTACTTAAAGGAAGTACAGCAGGCATAAATATATAATTTAATTAATGGTAAAACTCAATGGTATAAAAATGTCAATAATCTCAGATGAAATTACTTCAACATTTAGGTCCACTCACAAATCTCTACCAAAATTAAGGAACAAATCTGGGAAAAATATAAAAGCAGTAAAACCTCCACAAAAATCATGGGAGAGAAGAGGGAACAGTTACAAGAACACAGCCTCTTCAGGTTTAAAATTGTTCTTCGGCCCAGGGATTTGGATCAGTGGTTCCACCGCCTACTTCACAAGCACAAGGACCGGAGTTCGATCGCTGGTACCAAAAAAAAGGAAAAAAATTGTTCTTCTTGGTCTAATTCGTGGATTTGCTTTATTACTGTTCTTTTTAAGTGCGAGTTTGTGAGGCTACACTTTAGTTTTTATATGTATGTCCTACTTTCCGGTTAAAAAACATCTAAAAAGGGCCGGGGATTTAGCTCAGTGGCATCGTGCCTGCCTCACAAGTGCAAGGTCCTGAGATCCATCCGTGGTACAAAATATAAAGCAGCCCAAAGACGGCAAAATTTTAGTATCCGTACCATTATTGAGTTAACTGTCAAGTAAATGAAAATGTTAACTACTGCATGGTGGTGGACACCCGCGATTCGAGCCCTAGAGACTGAGGTAAGAGGATCAGCGAGTTCGAGGGCAGCCTGGACCACACAGGAAGTTCAAGGACGGCCTAGCCGGCACAGCCAGACCCTGTCCTAAAAATTAAAATTTAAAACTTTAAAAATTGACACGTCAAAGGGAATTTTAAATCTTACTTTTTAAAAGTCCATTTTAACTCCTGTTTTTAAAAAGAGAAAAAAAGAAAAAGCCGGGCGTGGTGGCGCACACCTGTCATCCCTGCACTCCGGAGGCTGAGGCAAGACAGCAGCGAGTTCACATACTGAGTTCAAGGCCAGCCTGAACTACATAGCGAAAGCCTGTCTCAAAAAAAATCAAAATTAGTAATAAGATAAATCTTATAGACTGACACTAGAACGTCAACTAAAATTAACAAAATACGGGCACCAAAGATTTCACTTAAAACTGTAAAAAGTTTAGAGTAAATAAATGTTCACCAAAAGAAAAACAGCGCCACAATAATGTAAGACAAAAACTCAAGGTGGTACAGAAGGAAAGCGGCTCGCCCTCGCGAGGGCTAACTTCTGCCGCCCCTCACCCGCAAGCTCCACAACTCAGCCGGGTTTTCCGACCCCAACCCAAGCACTTTCCTCACCAAATGCAAGAGATGAATTTCACTTCTTGCGTGAAGAGCATTTCGCACAGCTGGTCAAGGAATCTAAAGCGTACTCTCACCCTGACTCCCTTCCCCCTTACGCCGCCCTGCTTCGGGGGCCCTCTGGGGGCCCCAGGGACCCTGGGCGTAAAGGATTAAGAAAGGAAAGCCGGGCTTACAGGACGGGGATACAACCGAGGGAGCGGAAGTCTCGGAAGCTGCAGCCGAAGGACAAGAGACTCATGTGGAACGTCCATATGCTGCGGGGAAGTGGAAGGACCCCACCAGGAAGGAGGGAGGCGCGGCCGACCTGTCCTTTGCCCATGTGTCTCACTCCGGACGCCTCCCGAGAGTAATGGCTTCCGCTTCACTTCCGCCTTCTAAATCTCGTGAGATCTCATTGGACAGCTCTAACCCGGAAGCGATAGCCCAGGGGACGCTGGGATATGTAGTTATAAATATGGCTGTTAGGCCCAAGTGGACTCTAAATCCCACCGCACTTCCCCAGCTTCTAGTAGTCATTTAACAGGGACCTAGAGACTGAGCGTGGAGCGGTCCAGTGGCTAAATAGAGAGTTTGAAGCTAGTCATATCTGCCCTCATCTGGTACTGTCTCCTTTATTACCTTGAAGGATCGCTCAGTTCTGGGCTGTTAATCACTTAAGCAGAGCCTGTTTCTGGAGCTAGAGTTCTGCCTCTTAGAGATGTGAAAACTGTGAGTAGCCACGCTCTCAGAAGCTTTATGTCCTATATAAATGATTATCCCCGTGTTTACCTCAATGCCGTTTCGGCCATGGGAATGAAGACTCAGGATGTAGCCTTGTTCAGAAAGACATTTGACAAGTGTTTAAGGACCTTAAGAAAAGAACAAAATAGAGTGCCTTGCAAGAAGGCCTATAAAGGAATTTATCAACAGACAAGGAATGTAGAAAAGACAAGAGTTTATTTAGATCAGGATACACTGTCAAAGGAGACAGTGCACAGGTTTCTAAGAGAGGAATCTCAGGAGTTTTTATGAGGATTTGCAGATATGAAAAAAAGATCTGGACATCAAATGTGATTATCTAAAGTATGTTTTTTTCCTGGACCATCTGGCATCTTTCAGACCTTCTAGGAGCACCAGTATTGAGTTTAAAATTATACGTTTACAGTTCCATCAAGGTGATTTTTCTCTGGCCAAGAAAAACATCTTTGGCTTTAGTTAAGATAATGAGATCTGTGCGTGTCATTTAGAGAAGGATGGGTTCGGAGTCTAGGAGGAATGAATGGGCCTTACTACAAAGACTTTTTCCTATCTTAAACTGCCTAGGAAGTGCTGGTCAATTGGACTTCCTTTGTTAAAGGATTTTAGCCAGAGTTTGTCTGCTAAGGGTTTTAATCCTTTTCATTGCCAATGGGTGGCTTCTACAAAGAGTGATGTATCTGGAGTCCACAATTACGACAAAATTGAACCTGTGAATATTGAAGAAATGTCTTTACAACTAGTAACGAATGGCAGAGGAATGAGACCACCCAAGTAGGCTAGAGACAGCAAAGAGGTTCACCTGGGCAGAGGTAGACTGATGGCAGGCAAGAAGCCATCAGCCCCAAACAAAGAAAAGGCTTCGAAGCAGCCTGGGATTTAGCTCAGTGGCACCGTCTCTGCCTCCCATGGGACTGAGTTCGATAGCTGGTTAAAAGAAAAAAAAAGAAAGGAAGGAAAGAAAGAAAAGGCAGAAAGCCTTATAGGACATTGGAAGAGAGGTCTGACACGTCTGTCACATGGGTGGGGGACATGCAGTGATCAAGGCAGGTGTGTGGATATTTTCAGGTGACTTGGCATTGAAAACATGCTGTACTTTGTAGTTGTTATCTCTATGTTGGGAACATCCCATCCTGTGTTCTGTGTTCCATCTGTTCCAAGGTAGCACGGCTTTCGTCAGGCAAAGACAACACCTGCATTGGCTGCCTGTTTTGTTGTGTTTTTTGTTTGGTTTGGTTTTGCATCTTTTCAAATGTAGCTTGGAATTAAAGAGCGTTTTCATTTATCATTTCACAACCAGGTCAAGCCTGACAACAATGTACTGCTTGTGTGTGTGTGTGTGTAATATTGTGATACTGGGCATTGAACACTGGGCCCATTCACTGAGCTATAACCACAGACCTTTTTCACTTTTTATTTTGTGACACTGTCTCGTGAAGTCACTAATTTGAGCAGCCTGGGCTTGAATTTTCCACCTTCCTGTTTCAGCATCCTAGAGTGCATGTGCTGCCATGCCCAAGGATGCTTCTCCATCCATCATTTCAAAGAACTGATGAGGCTATATTATAGATAGCGAAGTTAGGTAAAAATATTCTAAGCAGCCAGACAGTGCAAGACCCTCGAGAAAGTCGGTGCAGAGGATTAAAGCACATTACAACGGTGACTAGAGGTGCATTTGTTGAAGGTTGGGCCTCAAAGACAGAGAGTGAGGCATGGCGGTGCACGCCTGTAATCTCAGCCCTTGGGAGACTGAGGCAGGAGGGTTGCCCAGCCTGGGCTACATAGAGAGTTCAGGGCCAGCCTGAACTACAAAGGGAGACCCTGCCTCACCAGCCCCCAAAAAAGGATAAAGACAGAATGACCAGGCCTACCTGTCTCCCCAAGAGATAAGCAATAAATTAAAGATGATACTCACCTGGCCCAATAAAGTTTATATAGATATCAGTCACCCCAGTGGGTGACCAAGACCCCCTGATTCATCTCTTCCTAAAAAAGACCTTGTTTTTTCCATATGCACTTGCTACGTGACCTGCTTCCCCATTGGGTCAATGTTACCTAAGTGGCTAAAATTGTAATCTTATTGGTCGAGCATAGTTTTGTCCCACATTGTGATTTTGCTGTATGAAACTTCCTCTGTAAAGTGGCAACCCATTGTTAGGTCTCTTCCTGTCTCTCAGGAACTCTCTCTTAATAAATATTTCCCACTCTTAACCCCCACTGTTCCTTAGAATTCAGTTATCGGTTTTAGGGAACACAAACTCAGCGTATCTAGCACTTTGGGGGTTATATTTATTTCCCCTATATGAACTACATTGCAAACAGTTTAAAGGCAAGACTTGGAATTTTCATTTTGTTTTTCAGGCAGGATCTTGCTAAGTAGCTCAGGCTTGCCTCAAACTTGCTATCATAGCCTGGTGTGGTGACAGTCACCTGTAACTGCAGCACTCTGAGAGGCTGAGGCAGGAGAATTACAAAAAGTTTCTGTAAACAGGGAAGGGTAGAGGGGGTGAAGAGCAGGGGAATGGGGGAAAAATAAAAGCCAAAATACATCATGTAAAGGTACAAGATCCCAATGATGAATGTAACTGTATCGTATACTTGAAATGTACCAATAAAGAAAAAAGAAAAAAAATAGATTAGACCCTACTCTGGGCAATTTAGCAACTTGAGGAGACCTTGTCTCAGAGTAAGAAAGGGTGAGGGTTGTAGCTCAATGTGAAAATCTTGTGTTCAATCCCCAACACTGAAAGAAAAAAAAAAATAAACAGCAGGCATGATGGTTCATCTCTATTATCCCAGCTACTTGGAGGCAAAGGCAGGAGGATCACAAGTTCAAGGCCAGACTGGGCAATTTAGGGAGACTGTCTCAAAATAAAGTAAAACAAAAGGGCTAGGGATGTCAGTCATCAGTACCAAGAGACTCAGCAACCAGGAGCAACTGGATTGTGTTCTGAATGTAGGGGGAAAAGTACAGAGTTTACAAAGTCACAAAAAATCACAAGTATAGCAGTTTTGCAGGAGTTATGATTGGCAGAGGCAAATGACCAGTTTGTAGGTTCCAAAGTATACAGGTTATGTTTAGCAGTCACAACCAGTGCACAAATTATTGTGGTTTATATGACTTGGTCAGGTTCAGAAATATGTAAGTGAGGATGTGCATGTACCCTCTCTTTCCCGCACTCCCCAGCTCTGTTTTAGGGACTCTGAACCAAAGTCCAAGCATTCTGTGATCTCAGTCTACCCAGATGTAATTTCAAGAGTTCCTGCTGTGGATTAAAATAATATATGGATTCAGTACTCATTTAGGCAGCATGGCACGTGGGGCAGAGTGTGGACTTCACGTGGGTAGTCTTTACTAACCCATAACAGCTGTGCAACTTTGGGGACTTCACCTAGATTTTCTATGCCTCTCCTTCCCCATCTGTAACCTGGAGCTAAAAATTCAATTAAAATAAAAGCTGGGTGTGGTGCAATCTTTGCTCCTTGAGAAACTGAGACAGGAAGATCATGAGTTCAAGGGCAGCCCAAACTACCACTCTGTTTTCAGAAAACAGCGACAACAACAACAACAAAAACAACAAAGGTGTTTCTTAAAGGTATATGGAATATATCATCTACTACAAATCAAGGCAAAATAAAGCTCCAGAGAGGTGAGCCAGACACCAGCACCAGCACTTTCATGCTTGAGAGGGGTTGAGAAGAAGAGCCAGGGTGCACTGTAGGTGTCTGCAGACTGAGGATTGAAGAGCAGGAGTGAAAGACCTCCCTCTTTGGCCTGGGACCAAAGAGTATGAGCAGTGTCTTCATCTTCCCAGAAGAAGCTTGTGCAATGTGTCGCTGTCAGAGAAAGTAGATTTGGATACAAAAACATGCACTGAGATAAGAAAGGTAATCTGGAAAGATAAGAGATCCAGTGTCACAAGAAGACCTGACCGTTCTGAATGTCTACTCACGTAGCACCCATTTCACTAAATTAAGTGAGAAAGGGACAAATTTAAAAAACTACTCTATTAGAGTACAGGTTCTTGAAGTAGGTATTGACGATCCTCTGGATTTCTGTAGGATCTGTTGTGACTTCACCTTTTTCATTCCTAAGTGCATGGATCTGAGCCTTTTCTTTCCTTTTTTTGACAAGATTAGCTAAGGGTTTACCAATTTTATTTATTCTTTCAAAAAACCAACTCTTCGGTTCATTGATTTTTTTGTATCGTTTTCTTAGTTTCCATTGCATTGATTTCTGCTCTAATCTTTATAACTTCCTCTCTTGTATGAGCTTTGGGTTCTTCTTGCTCTTCTTTTTCTAGGAGTCACACATGTGTAAATACCAAATACTTTCTCTGGTGTGAAAAACTATAATTGTAAATGAGATCTTAACGGTACACTTGGCAATGTGAAATAGGAAGAAAGGGGCTAAAGGCGTAGGGGAAGTGGGAAGGGTCGGGGAAAGAACATAAGGGAAAAGAAAAAAATATGAGAAAACGAAAAAATGGACATAAAGTTTTTGTAAATGGGGAAGGGAGGAGAGGGTGAAGGGAGGGCAGGGTATGGGGAAAAAATGAGAACCAAGATCTGTCACGTAAAGGTACAAGATCCCAATGATGAATGTAACTGTACTGTATACCTAAAAAGT